AAATTGAGTCAATACTAAGATTAAGATTGAGACTAAAATTAGGACTAGGAGCGTTGCATGAATGTGTAGAGATTTCCAAAAAAGCCAAACATTTCAATAATTCCAATAATGGCAAAAAATACAAAAAACAAAAGGTTCCAAAATTTCCAAAAAAAATCCAAAAATCTATGCGCCATCTGGCAGAGTCGGTCCTTAACGTTCGGAGGAAAACTTAGACATTTTGGAAACTTTGGAAAGAAAGGCTGAGGGGAATGTTGGAAATTTGGAAACTTTGGAATTGAGTTTGGGAGGGACACCACCCTTCCCCTTCCCCACAACGGTCTGTCATGCGGGGGGGGGTGAGCATATATATATATATATGTATATATGGGAGGTGTTATACCCCCCTCGGAATTCCTCCCTGTTTAGCGAAACCCCCTGAACCAGTTCACCAGCTCACCGTTCTTTGCCCCCATATGGTTAGCATACCTCACCAATTCACCATTTCATCAATTAGTTTTGGCCCTGTGTCTACACCCATAAACCATTTCACCAGCTCATTCGGCACTAACCCATAAACCATTTCATCATTTCACCAATTAGTTTGGCCCTAACCCAAACACCGTTTCACCATTTCACCAATCAGTTTGGCCCTGTTGCTAAACCCAGAAACCATTTCTCAATTTCACCAATTTAGTTTGGGTAAAAAACATTAGGCTTTTTATTGCCACTTAAACAAGCTTACCACACCCTCCAGCATTTGCAGCCTCTCCAACACATAAACCATCACTATTTTGGGGCCGAGATTCGGCCCCAGATTGAGAGCAAGCCCTCGACATATAGCAGCACGGTTTGCATGCACATGGCGAAAGGCACGATTGTATCGGCAGGTACGGTGCTTTCGGGGGCATGTCTGATTCGTGCATCAAGGCAGGGAAGCAACTTGCACGGTCGTGTGGAAGCGGCGGGTGTGGATCTTGGGTGGGTGACCATCCATATATATATATACATATATATATATATGTATATACATATACATATACGTATACAGCCAAAGATATATATATATACATATATGTCTATTTATTGATTTTTGTTATTTATGTGCCGTCCTCCCCCCCCCCCCCGTTATCCACCTCTTTGCTGCAAATCCTGCGAATCCTTCCCCTGCGATCGCTTCCAACAGGAACCCGCTTTGCTGCTATTGTCTCGCCCCTTTTGCTGTGAATCCTCTCCTTTCGATCGCTACCATCATACAACTTCAATTTATGTGGGCTCAGCTTGAAACTCAAGCCGGGAAAGACTATTTCACGCCATGCACCCCAAAATCCAGCCGGCTTGAAACGTCTTGAGCTTCAAGCCAATCCGCCGAAGATTGATGATCACCAAGAATGTTTTGACAGGAATCTTTAATGTACAATGGATCGGCTAGACACTCAAACCTGTTCAAACCATTCAACCCATTAATCTTCATTGGATCTCCGATGATCCACCTTGAAACTCAAGCCGGTTCAAGCCATTTCGAGCCACCCGCCCCGCAATCGAAGATTCCGGCAAAACTCTCTCTGAAATCTTCAAGCTTTAATAATCGGTGACGTGGCTTGAAACTCCAGCTGCTGCAGCGCTGTCAACCATTTATTAATCGAGTTTGGAATCCCAGTCTAAACAAGTCCTATAGACCCGTCCAAAGTAGCTTGTTCCGGTTTTGTGTTGGCTGGACCCCTAAACCCTAAATTATCTAGTTAAACACCTTTGATCACCTTTGCCAGGACTTTTCGAATCACACAACTGTTTCTCTGCCCGTCTAAACGATGTCACCGAGACATACCTCTCAACGTTTCAAAAAATAGCCGGCTGTATCAATCAATACGCATCCTTTTCTAAGTTATCGAAGCACCTGTTTCAGTCATCTAGATGCAGATGTACATGGTCTGAACCTGTTCGGCCAATCAAAGCAAGTTTTCGAAATGTTTTCATCCTCTTGGAGAGCTTAGGTCACGTATTCAAACCAACTAGACAGCGTCAACACTTTGGAACTTGACGATGCTACCCAAATCATGTCATGTCTTTCGTTTGCGCAGGCTTGATTCTTCGGAGATTTTCCATGTAGGTCTTACGTCATAAAGCAATACCAGCATGTAATCTAACTATCCGTTAGATTCAGTTAGATCAATCTAAATACACGCTGGCTGTTCCAAAATATTTGGCTACCTTTCTCACTTCTACAAACACCCTCTTGCTATATGTAACCATGTACTCAGTCGTTTACATCCCCGTTGAACGTTGTGAGTCACTGAATGAAACTATTCCATACCCGTGGCATGAAAAGCGTTTCAACATAGGGTACAGAAATCCGTTCCACAGAATCTCGAACCTGATTACGAAGCGCCTGATTCGACATCCCCTAAATTCTGGGATCCGTGTTAGGAGCAACCAGGACCTTTGTGAATCAGGAGAGAGCCCATGACCCCTTTTAATTAAGAAGACGTATTACCCCCTAGAGAGTTTCTTATCATTTAATATTTTATTCACACCTGCTCAGTGACGTGTTGGGCTTCCCCGGCCGCCTCCGATATCCGGCTTAACAGCTCGACGCCGTGATTTAGTCGGCCGACGCCTTGTGCACCGAGACCTTTGCCGGGGAAGCCAAAAAGGAGGATCCTTACTTTCTACAGTCTACAGTTTCTGGTTTGGGGTCAATTGTCGAGGGTTGCTGGCATTTGAGGTCGTGGGTTCTGGCTTCAAGGCACCACGGCCGTGGCAGGCATGGAGCCTTCGAGAGCTCTCTGGGATTCTCCCAGGGATCGCCACTCCAACAGCAACCAGTCACAGATCGTATCTGGGCACCTCAGTCTCCCGAAGGGCCAGGATGGGCTGTCTGAGTCCACAGCTTTTCGCAAGAGCCACCGGGCCGACCGTTTTGGCGTTGGCCCAGCCCTCAAACCTCAGCAGTGTCTGTCTTCGTGCAACGCAACAGAGCTCAGACCAACTACTGTACACCAGCTTGCGAGAGCAATGCATCTCTTTGGCCCACAGCCGGCTTCTGCAACTGAGAAAGGTCCCGACGTATCAACGCAACGAAAGGATGCAACGTGCCTTTGGGACCATGGGTCTTCAAAGAACAAACTCCGTGGTGGCTGATGCTGCTTCCATCCGAGCTCTGTACAACCCGACACAATTGGTAACTTCTGTTACCAACTAGCGGAAGCCCCGGTCATGTTCACGCAGCGACTCGTCATGCACGAACAAATCGAAGGAGGAAGCAGATTCGGCCATCAAGACCCAGCACCTCGGCTTGCAGCGACACCGCCCATCGCATGCATGCCGCTGCAACACTCTAGTTCGGCCCGCTCCTTATGTAAGCAAAGCGCGCGAGATGATGGCGTTGTAGTGGATGGGCCTCAGCTATCCAAAGTGGCAAGGCCGGTGAACCTTGAGAAGACACCATCCATGAAAGCTGCTGCTCCAAGTACTGGCCAAGGCGCGAGATATATGACAGGAATATTCGCTTCCTCCAGGCTGGAATGTTCTCAATTGCCATTCATGTCCATTGATGCATGGCTGGGAGTGCCATCAAGTGCTTGTGGCACAAATCGTGGACAGTTTAGGATGTTGTCCTGCTTTTGGGCATTCCCACGCCCTTCGGGCAAATGGCAATGTTTAGATCTGGAGGATCCAAACCTTCGGGCTCGTAGACCAAATGCCTGAGCTTAGACGGGAATGCCACATGTGCAAGACTCTATGTAGATTCAAATTTGCGGAATCGGTGCAACAGGTCCTTCACACTAAAATCAAGAAAAATGACACCACTATCGGAAGCTATCTTGCACTCAGCACAGAGCTGTAGGACAACTGAACAGGCGAACCGCATGACGATCCCCGCACTTGCTGATCAGTCACCAGTTTGTCGGCTCAGAAGTGACGACCTCAGCAGGGCGAGTTAGTTCACCAAACTGCGCCAAAGAAAACTCCTCCGCTCGAAATAGCAATAGCAGACCAATCGGGCCAAGGGACGTGAGCTACACAGCCGTAAGCTTCCACAACGGCTCGAAGCGTGAGCTCGTCGCCCCAGGTCCCGTTGCGGGCCATGTTCTGCAAGTAGCGCGAGAACTCGGCCTGGATCTGTCTTTGAGACGAGGAAAAGCAGGGAGGACAGCCTAGCCCAGCGCAGCCCGGCGCAGCCCAGCCCCGGTGAAGGGAAACAAAGGGTTTTGGGGCCTGCAATCTCAGGGTTCGGAATTCTGTATTACTGTCCCTTCTCGAAAACCTGATGAAGAAAAATCAATGCTGCTACCTACTTGGTATTTGCAGACCGCACGAAACAATAAAATTGAAAGGTCCATCGGAAGTCAACACTGAAGATCGAACAATCTTTTCGAAGGTTCGTAGTTGTTGAAATGTCTCTTGCTTACTGATTTCATAATCCTCATTAATTCTGCTGTCCTTCTTCAGAAAACCATCCTTGCCGCTCTTGCGATTCATCTTACTTTATTGTTGTTTGTCTTGTTTCTCTTTTCATTATTCCTTTCCTGTCCTTGTTCTTTTTATATTGCTGTTTCCTGCTTTGTTGCGGAGCACTCCGCAATGATCGGCAGCCCAGCCCATTGCACAGCCCACGCAGCCAGCCCAGCCCAGCCCAGCACTCAGGTAAGTTTAGGTTTCATCAATAAACCCAACAACGAATCGCGGGAACCGTCGAACCGAACTGTAGGAACCGAACCGTGTAAGAACTGCCGCAACATCAACGGTTAAGTTCATTACAAATTGTCCCCAATGGACCGTGGCCACCCTGGAAAAGGCTCTGCGATTTGCATTGCGAGGGACCTCAGTCTCAAAAAAGACGCCGAAGAAGTCCGAGTGCTTCCTCAGTTGCATGATCTCATGGGCAAGTCGAACTATGCCTTGCAGATGCCATGAGCAAGACTTCTTAAGCCTCGTTGTTCCAATGCTTTGCGTCGATCCGTGACTGAACCCTGCCATCCAGCGGCTTCATGTGCTTCACCGCAGCCTGCCGTGGCGAGGTGTGGTAGTCCTTCAGGAGGGAACTCTCGGCACTCACGCTTCAGCCCTGGCCGCCAGGCCTGGCTTCCAAACAAATTAAAGGCCATGGAGCGAAACCTGAGACGTCATCAGAGTCATGCACCGTTCTGAGCCAATGAAGCTGGATTGCACGCAAGTCACTGGCAATTGCCATCACCCTCCATCTCCAACATCTGCCTCGTTATGACACGGACACTGAACACAACTTCTATAGAATCCGGCTGCTGGTGCAAATGCCCTCCCTTCGGTCGCGAAATCCTATCAAATCCTGGCAGCTACTATCAGCAGCCAGTGTTTAGCAAGGATGACATGCACACTGCTACGATGATATATGCAATAGTCGACAGCGTAGCTCAAGCCGCATGTCAATCCGTGTTGGGTGGCTGAGGGTATCCTTCAACCGTACAAGAAACATAGGGGATACTTGCGCCCCAAGGGGCGGGGCCGAAAGCTCACAAACCCGGGCAAGCTACACCGAGTATGGCGCATCACCCCACCCCTCGTCCCGGCACCAGGCATCATGAGCATCATCGCCGCCGTTTCTCCAAAAAGACGTCTCTCCTGGGCTCCCGCGTGCAGCCCCGAAACGAGCCCG